ATTGAGAAATTCATTTATTTTAAAAATAGCATATTAAAAAGAAAGTAAAATAAAATGGTCTCAAGTACCCAGCTTTAACAGAAATATCACACTAATCGACTGTTGATAATTTTTCTTTTGTCTTTCCTTGATAATGAAAAACAAAGAGAATGACTACAATAATCTCAATATTTTTATAATTCTTAACAATGTTTTATCTTAATTTAACTTCTGATTATTGTTTCCAAATAATAGTCAATACAATGACATAACAATTTAAATGAAAAAAAAATACTCGTATTAAGTGCGCGGTTAAATACATTATATTATTAATTTTCGTGGATACGTTGTATTAAGGAAATAATACATACTGACAACCTTCTATGCAAAATAAATCCGTAACATTTCATAAATTTATGAGAAATTAAAATAATTAATATATAAATAAATAATGACAGCAGGTAACACTGCAAATGGATTCACACATCAGTCTATTAGAATATCAATTATATCTCTTTTTCTCAAATGAATTTTTACCCTTTAGATTATATCATCTATTCACGCGACTATATAAAAGCAATGAAATGGAATAAACAATTTAACGAATCTAAACAACAAGTATTATGAAGCATTTGATATTATGACAATAAAATATATTAAACATATGCAAGTTAAAAACTTCAATATTTGAAAACTATATTTTTTATCAAACTTACCAATAAATGTCATGAGGTCGTAATCACTTTAGATTGGACATGTAACATTTTTGTCAATCTTCAATTTGTTAACCACAAAGTGTACATAGTTCTTCATAAAATGGTAAACTTGGTACTGTTATTTGAATCTTAAATTTACAATGTTTTATAACGCAATATGGAATTGAGATAATTTTATCATTTCCTAATCATACTATCACAAAATCAGATGCCGGTAGCCTGTTTTTACATCGGGTCATCGATGGTACTTACTTTCATAGCGAAGTAATATATAGCGCGTGTAGCTAAGAAGAATGCGACCAGGAAAGCACCAACGTAAGCCACGTAGATGCCACCTCCGTGCACCTTGGCAGAGTTGTATGTTCCCAGAGTAACTCCAAGAGCAATCGCGAAGAATATAAAAGCGAGTACTGCGAAGATGGTGCCCCGCAGAGCCATGCGTGAGCCCACAGAAGATACCTTGCGGCAGTGGGGGCACCGCGCTGGTGCGTTCCTTAGACGTTGATACTGTAAACATATTTCGATATGTTGATTTATCACTTAAGCAACTAGTAGCTTGCTTTATAATAGTAAAAAACAATAAAGGTTAATTGGTATTGCAGCAAAAATTTCATTTCATATGAGAAATAAAACAACAAACACATACATTAAAGCATAATTACTAGAATGTTTTCAAAACAAAAGTATTGACATTTCTGGGTGTTTTGTATTAATAATACAAAATCCATTTCACTATGTGTTGATACAGAATTTTAAAAACAACTCACTGATCGAATTGAACATTTACAATATCAAACATCATTGAAATAAATTGTTCCAAGTCTATGGATACCATAAAATGTTTAAGTTTAAAAACCAACAACTATTGCTGTATAATATTTCAACAAGTTCCTTAAATGAAATGACAACTCATGTTTGTAATCAATCAGTTTGATTGCAGATGTTTATAAAACACATAAACATCAATACAATAACAAGCTTCTAGCATTTGATTTTTTCTGAAGGTTTAATGTCAGCTTATGTGTCTCCTCAAAAGGACTCTAAGTCTAAACTAAATTATACCACCACTGGGGGTAGTATTATATCATAGGCATATTATATACTTACCAAAAATGTATCCTGGCAATGTACACAAATGACTCGGCACATGCCAGGCAATGTTGACACTGGTGGGGTGACTGGAGATGGAGCGAGGTTGATGATCCTCTTGCAGTCAGGTCGGGGGCACGCAATCCGCTGCGATGACGACTTGCAAATCAACAGGCAGTTGCAAGGACAACGCACATACTTCTTGCCCGGAGGGGCATTCCTTATTGGCTGAAATGAGTAATTAGTAGATAAGACAAGTAATAAATGTAAAATACTTACTTTAATATTGATGTTTAAATTATTTATTTTCTGTTTTTAAATAAAAGAAAGCAATTTCAAAGGAAAATAATAAATCCAACCTTTAGATCGAAATTTTATAATAATAAACATAAATGACAAAGTCAACCTCTGCCTACCCTATTAAGTTTTGTAAATCTCTAAATTTGAATGATATATTCTACAATCTAGTGTTTTTCTAACTATTTATTGGAAATACTGTGTAGATATTTTTTATTAAATACAACAAAGTTGAGTAGCAGATAACAAATGACTCATAACAGTGTACAAAGCCACACTTTCTTAATAACAATGTAACATACACTTTACATTTTCAACATATTAATTACATGATAACCAACTCTTGTAAATAATAAACTAACTGTTTAAATAAAAAATATCATTCTAATTTGTCAAAATTAGTCGGAATGAAAGAATTAAGGTCTAAAAATTAACATCCTTTAATTTGTGATTACTCGGACAATAAAACAAAGGACATATTGTACTCAAAACAAATGTAAGAAGGTTAGTAGTAATCATATATATTTTCTGTTTCGGTTCCAATTAGTATAATGCAACATGGTCTTGACGACATTAGCAATAAATTATAACAGTCTTACTTTTGCTGTATTCAAATCTTACAATGTGCAGGAGCTACGGTTATTATGTCAGGTTATATCGCAGGTTATTCGATGATATAATGTTTGTGACTCAATTTTCTAATGCATAATCATGTCTTACCGTAGCTTCATGACACACAGAACATTTTACAACATGCTGTTCCCTTTTTCCCGAGATATCTATCATCGACTGGCATACGCGGCAAGTCACCATAGGCATTCCAGCCTGTTGATACGGTGGTGGAAGTTCGTCCGGCCCGATGGGAGAGATTGTGCTTACATTGACTTCCTCTGTTGAATAAGGTAAAAATTACGTGGTACATAAACGTAATTAAACTACAAAACGTAACAATCGAACTCGACGTTGCACAACTCGACGTTCAACCAAGCTAGACAATCTTCATTATAATTTTAGTAGGCATTGTTTAACAATAAAAATACTAGAAAATAGTTGAATCATCAGCTGTCAAAAATACTAAAATTACTTACCATCCCTTAAAAGCGGCTGGTTTTCGCTTTGTCCGTCCCCCATCGTAGAACACGAAAATTTTAATAACTCAATATGTAAATATCTTTACGTGAACAAGGAATTCTTTTGACGAAAATTGTCATACCAGTTTACTTCGATTATGCACAAAAAAACAAAAACATCAAATTGACTAGCTCTGTGGTTTTCATAGACAAAAGAATAAGAAAAAAATAAGAAGTTTTTTTCTGAGATTAACATCAAATTACTGAAATACCTATTATTATTTAACATCAACGAACAGTCTTATTGCTTTTTCTTTGTTTTTTATAAAGGAATGGTGTTCGTTAATATAAATGAAATCTATGAAACAGACTTTTATACATTTTTAGTTGGTCTGTGATAGCACTTGTCAACAAAAGCACGTGGCAGTTGACAGTTACAGTGACGTATATCTTATGCGGTCTGTTTAATATTTTGAAATATAATTGAATTCATATACTTTTCCAAAATACTCACCATGTGTGTGAACTAAAACTGTGAAAAAATACTTATTTACATAATACGGAAACTTATAAAATGGCATGTAAACTACATAGAGTGCGTTACTATAATCCAAAGCCGGAACCGATAAATTGTGTTTCGTTTAATAAAGCTAATAAAACACTTGCTGTAGCAAGGTTTGTTACCGTCTCAAAATTAAATACTAATAAGGAATTGTATTGTCTGTTACTAATTTAATTTCTTACAGGTCTGACGCCTCTATAGAGATTTGGGATTTGAATTACGCCCCTTACTTAGTGAAACTTATTCCCGGTGCAGAAAACGCATCAGTAGAAGCACTGGGATGGGTTAACGATAGATTGTTATCAACTGGGCTTGGTGGAGCGTTGTTGGAATGGGATGTAAACACTTTGAGTGTTAAAAACACAGTGATCCTAACAGGGTACGCTGCGTGGTGCCTTGACGTCGATCCAAACAATACTTTAATAGCCGTTGGTACAGAGCAAGGTTATATTAACCTCTACAGTGTTGAATATGATGACATTGTATATAAGAAGCTATTTGATAAGCAAGAAGGTAGAATTATGTGCTGTAAATTTGATAAAACTGGAAAAGTTTTGGTAACAGGTAAATTTTCATTACTGCATTTTAATCAAGTTAAAAGATGAATTTAAATGTATCATCTGATTAATGTTTTATTTTAGGATCTATTAATACAATAAGAGTATGGAATGTAGAAACAGGGCATGCAACTTGCCGTATTTCTGTCAGTAGACGTGGGAATGAGATGATAGTATGGTGCCTGGCAGTGCTTTCAGATAATGTTGTTGTATCCGGAGACAGTCAAGGCAGGCTGACATTTTGGGACAGTGTCCTTGGGGATCAGGTATATTAAATAAACATAATGTATATAAGTTATAAAGGCTCCTGCTTTAAAATTACCTAAGTCATTGGCTAGCAAATGCCTTTGGGCATGGTCTTTGATGTTCAAGAATTTTCTTTCAGATAGAGTCATACACCACACATAAGTCAAATATCCTATCAATAGTTGTGTCTGATGATGAAAAGAATTTATACTGCAGTGGAGTGGATCCTGTTATAATGAACTTTGTTAAAGTGAGCAAAGGCTCTGGTAAAATCACTGGTGCCCAGTGGGTGAAGAATGTACAGAGAAATATTCATGAACATCAAGTCAGGTAAAATACATGATACAGGTTACAATGTAGACACACTAACCATTTTAGCGGAGAAGTCCACATCTCTATTTGATCAGAATTCAAAAAGTAGCCTATGTGTTCTTCCACATTATGATCTGTAATGAAACCAAATTTTATCTAAATCTGTGAAACCATTCTGAAGATGTCTTCTACCAAACATTCATCCATCTAAATGTTTTAATATCAGTAAGATGTTCTTATTTAGTTGTGAAATCTTTAATGAAAGTTTTGTTTAGAAACACCTGTAAAGTATTATTGTCTTTTTCTAGAGCATTAGTATTGAATGGAGACAAGCTGATATCAGTGGGAGCTGATGGATATCTGACATTATCCAGCTATCCACCGAAGTGGGTGATGAGGATACCACCAATGATTCCTGCTGTCAGATCAGCAGTTTCTGGAAAGAATAAGCTGTTGTTATTAAGGTAAGGGACATTTTATAGTACAAGGCTAGAAAAAAAAAACTTCTTAATGTATCAGCCAGTGCCCATGTTAGAGTCGGACAAGGTTGGTTGAACACCCACAAGTACATAATACATACATAACCACCAACAAGTGTGATGCATAGGCATGGCATTTACCCATGTTAAAAAATATAAAAAAAAACACCCACATTGCTGGACACAAAGATGTTCTTCTTTTTTCATATGGCAGCAAATTATTAAGAGTATGAATATTTTTCAGATATTCCAATCACTTAGAAGTATGGAAACTAGGCACATATGGAACTAATGAAAACGGAAATGTAATTATAACTGATGTTCAGTCACAACAAAATGTTGATAAAGAAAATGACAACACTCATCTAGAACAGGACACAGCAATATTAGATTATAAGAAAGGCAATAAATCATCGGGAACACAAAAGTTGAAAATAACCGATAAGCCTGTGAAGTTAATTTCAGTGAAAAGTAAGAAGAACAAACAGATAGTGAGTTGTGCTCTGTCACCGGACGGCCAGTTCGTCGCTTATTCTACTGACAGTGATGTGCGAATGCTTAAACTAGAAACAGTAAGTAATTATTGTAAAACTACTGCTGAATGACTTCTCAGTCATTGCTAATATTAAGGTCAAAATCGATATTGAAATTATCTTTAAAGCAAGTCAAATTATCAAAGTTCATCCCATACAAATATTGTTATACAAGATTTTCTTAGGGCTTTGCACTCTTGTGCTCTTTCCATCCAATCAATGCTACATCATAATTTATCTTCTTAAATCTTTACTACACATTAATTACTTATTTTTTTCAGGAGGATGAGAGTAATATATCATTGACAAAGATGTTAATCAGTGGGCTATCGTCAATGTGTGACCGCATGGTCTTCAGTGAGGACTCGCAGACTTTGCTGGTGCATTCTCGGGGAGAGCTCAAAGTTCTGCATGTTGATGCGCAAGCTGGAGCCACTGTTGTACAAATTATACCAACTGATAAATGTAAGTAAATTTTTATATATTCTTATTGTTGCTAGTACCATGGACCATTAGGAAGACAAATAGGAATCCCTGACTACCCATTTGTGTTATAGGCGTGTGTTATATTGTATGTTTGTAATTTTACTTTCAAACTCAATGTTTAATTGTAACTGAAAGCATTCTTTAATGTAATTTTCTTATTAAAAATAAATCTATGTTCTAAATCTACACTATCATTAAGCTATTACAATAGCAATTACTATGAAAATTGAAGTCCAAAGTAAATTAGAGATGAAGTAACATGTTTTTGAGTAAAAATAAATAAATACAAATATAATTTTTTTGGTACAAGTCAAGTAACGGATCATAGAATAATGCGCGTATAATTAAAGGAACAACAAAAGTGTACCTATGTGTTCTTCCAGACTATCCTACATATATACCAAATTTTATTGAAACCCGTTCAGCCGTTTAGTCTACAAACTCTATCATTCCAAACTTTCGCATTTATTGTTATGATGTATTAAATTTCAGATTTAAAAAGTAAAACAGCTTTACACTTACACGTGTGTGAGAAGACACGTTCGAATGTTAGGTACGTAGTGTTGAGCGACAGCGCGGGCGGGGTGGCGGTGTGGCGTGCGGGGTGCGCGGCGGGCGGGGCGGCGCGCGCGCGCAAGTACGACCACCACGCCACGCTGCCCGCCTACCGCTGCGTGCCCGCCGCACTCACTGTTGACACTGCTAACGAAACACTTATTATCGCTTACGTCGATCAAAAGGTAAGATTTCAATTAATATTCAATAATGCAATTTTGTCTCCTCTGTTGATTAAAGCTTCTTGAAATGATGGGGACATAAACCAGAAAGTGTTAAGATTGAATGTGGATGGCTACAAAGGAAGAGGAAGACCGAAGAAAGTATGGATGGATTGTGTGAAAGAGGATATGCTTATATGACGGCTGATAGAGATGTATGGAAGAGCAGCACATACTGTGACGACCCTCCGTAAGGGATAAGGGCAAGTGGATGATGATGTTGATTAAAGCTTCTACAAATGTCATGTCTATGGTCGCTTTGCTATTTTAGCCAATAACGATGGCAATTTGCCTGTTTATAACCTTAGACTTATAGAACGTGTAAATTGTAACATAAATTCTGAGGCAAAAGTTAATTAATTTATTTAGAACGAGCTGGTGCCCGCGACTTCGTCTGCGTGGTATTAGAAAACATACAAACTATATAAATTAAAAAAGCTACGTATCCCTCGGGAAGCGGACAATTCTCGGGGATGAAACTTATCCCATGTGTACACCAGACTTTATTTTATATCTGTGCCAAATTTCAATAAGATATGTTGAACCGTTGCAGAATGATCGAGTAAACATTAAAAAACTAAATTAATAAATCCCACGGGAACCGTAACTATTCCAAGGATACAAAGTAGCCTATGTGTTCTTCCAGACTATGCTCTAAACCTGTGCCAAATTTCCTGGAGATCCGTTCAGTCGTTTAGACTACAAACGCTAACAAACATCCATCCATCCATCTATCCATCCATCCATCCATCCACCCATCCATCCATCCATCCATCCATCCATCCATCTAAACTTTCGCATTTATAATATTAGTAAGATTAGTAAGATTAATTGATTTTAAAATATGGAATAATGTAATACTGAAATGTGCGTTTATCTTTGAAAAAATGAGGCATTTCTTGAGTGGTATGTCTATGGCGTTTGCTATCATCATCAAGCCCACGCGCTATTTTTGTCGATGTATAATATTTTAACCTATAAATAATGATTTCAGTTAGTAGAATACGATCTGTTGAATAAGAAGTTTAGTGAGTGGGGCAGCGCGGCGCAGTCGGCGCTGCCGGCGCAGTGGGCGGCGCGCCGCACGGCCGTCGCCTCCGTGTGCGCGCACCCCGCCGCCGACAAGCTCGTCTTTCAGGACGAAACATCGCTTTGGATCATGAATAAGAAACCTACGGTAATTATACTCCATTATTTTTTTGTAGGGCGGTCTCTTGCCGCCCCGTCGTTCTCCCCTGGCGTGGTGAAAAAAGCAGGAGTGGCAAACCTTTACGGCTCATTATCATTCTAAAGAAATATTTAATACGGACATAGACGTGTTACTAAATTATTTTGACTAATTATTGGGTACCTTTCTATAAATTCGATCAATTTGAGTTCGCACCTCGTATAATAACTATTTCATACTTTTTTCATAGTGTATATTTAATTTAATAATCAGTGACGTGCTCAAAGTAAACATGTTCGGAAAATTGGTTCCCCACCCCTGCAGTAGATTGAATCTTATATAATCTGTAATATTTACGTAGTAATTAAAAAAAAATCTTATATCTATGTTAAAGAGTACTCTTTTTTCCTTCCAGAATAACAACGAAGAGCCAAGTGTAAAAAAGAAATTCAATAAGAATGACTCCAGTATGAACCTTAAAATAATACCAATAAAGGTGAGAATCGAGATTACACTTATAGCTTGTAAGCTTTCGGTATTCATTTTTATAATAACTTGTTTGTTTATTGCAGTATTTAGCAGGATTTCATTGGATCGGTGACGACGAAGCGGTCACGTTGGAAATATTACCAGAGAACATAGTTTCTCAACTGCCACCTGCATTTGTTACTAAAAGACACAATATGGGATAATTATTTTTATGTTGTTTTAAACAAAATAGCATATATTTTTAAAAATAAAAATAATGTATAGTATTTCGTATTTTTTATTTATTACCAGCTTTCGCCCGCAACTCCATCCGCGTGAAATAAAAAACATACACCAATGCCAAACTGTATTGACATCGTTTAACAGTTTAGGATACAAACTAACAAACATCCATCCACCCAAACTTTCCCATTTATTATATTAGAAACATTAGTAAAATTCATTTTTAAATCGAAACAAAAAAAATATACTTAATTAAACGTAAGGTCAGTGTAAATTGAAAAAATTGTCCTGCAAGATAGAGACAAAAACTACAAGCAATTACCAGCAAAGTATCAAAGTTGCCATGGTCATTTAAATTCTGAACATGCAATGGTCATCTGAAAAAAATTAGGGAATGTAAACTTTAAAATAAAATTATTTACTGTCCTGTTACTAGTTTATCATAAGAAATCAAACTGCGTGACGGTAAGTTGTTGTGGTCGTGTCCACATCTCGTCGGTGACGTCAGAGCGCGCCGTTGGCAACTTGTAAGATATCGGATCGCCAATTCCTCCTCTGAAACAATCGATACATTTTGTAAAGCACAGTATTATGGTATTTTCACTATAACAATATTTTATTTTTTAATGTTTACTTTAACGAAAGTTTTAATAGTGAAGGAAAAATTGGGTTGTTCCTATCCGTCAATCTGCTCTGTCCCCTGATAGGGACAGAACGAATCCCCTTTTTAGCGACGACGAGACTGTTGAAACTTATTTTATTACTTAACGCTTAGTTTAAGCTTAATCAGTGTAAGCCTTCGAAAGAAAATTCCGAATTTATAATGAAGATTCACATTAATACGTATTCAAAATAAAGAAGTACCAATAGTTATTTTATTTGTCTAGTAAAGGAAAAACATTACCCTAAGAAAATCATAGTTTGTTTATATGGATCGTAGATCTGTCCCGGCGGCAGTGGCGGTCTCGTCGGGTAATTGCGTCCAATGTTTACTAGAGGTCCGTACCGATCTAATGGACATAGCGCCCGGCGGCCAATCATACCTGTAACAAGGAGTTGGTATACTAATGTAAGGAGTCCAGAGTAACCGAGAATAAAGATGTTTGAATGAAACCATAACGAAAGAGTTGATTCCAATCTTCTTAGTTCGAAACTACTCTTCTTAGTCTAAATAAATCGAATTAAAGTTAAATAAACGATTAATCAGCAATATGATATTAACCTGTCTTTTTCTTGACAGTGACCCAAAATAAATTGTTTGAACACTTAAGTGGATTAAGCAGAGTTCCCACGTAAAGGCCGTGGGTGTAAGTGGTCACTGGGTGTATTAAGTGACGCGTTGCCCGAATCCGTTAATTAATTAGTTTTGTTGATCATTAATCTTGACCTAAAGTGTTGTTACATTAATAATACAAACATAGACGAGTAATTGCATAAATAATACTATAAGGCGCTTAATATTTTTGTTTGTTTTGTATCGTTATTTTAAATAATGTTGCAAGTTTTTTTTTTGCAATTCAGTATCATTTTAGCAATGTAAATCTACCACTTATTAATTAAAGTACAGAATAATTATTCACATACTTTTATTTTATTGATATTTAAAAACCCGTGCTAATGACCTGAGGATGTGAGGGGCAGTGGCGTAGGACTTGGTTCGACGTGCACCGAGTGCTGCTCCACAGGCTTACAGCTGACCGTGCGCAGCGCCGCGCGGTACTCTTCAACACCCATGCCTGTTAAACACAAAAGACAGAAACATCACAGCGATTTGACATCTGCCTTGAACTATGAACTCGCACAAACAGGAAATATTTTTTGAAAATAATACAAATATAAGATGTTTAGATCCGCGGGGAGTTAGATCAGAACTCATGAAAAGGTTTAGCTAATGTTTTACCTATTTTTTGAGCTTCTTCTTCTTGTATTTCTCGCATCTGAGTGTAAAACCCCCATCGTTTGTTCCACAAACGTGCTGCATGCTTTGCTTTTTTGTTGACTGATGTTCTGTAAGATATAATTGAACGAAATGGTAAAATCCCAAATCAGTTTTTCCATTAATCCTAACATATTTTCGTGATTTTTCTTAGTATTAATACACACGATAGATCTATTGTTTGTCAAATACAAATGTTTGCTATTCTTGTTTTTTAGAGCATAGATAGAAGTGGATAAAGATATCAATTTCGTCCAAAGCTGTACAAATAGACTAATATTCGTTTAGCCCATTTATATAAACAAATAAACTACGATAGCAAAAAAGTAAATAAGTAAGTAAAACAACAATCGTATCTCTAAACTAAATACAAAATAAGTACAGATTTATAGTTTTTTAATGTAAAACTAAGCCTGCTATAAAAGTGACACTCTTTGCTCTCTAAATCATATGCAGTGTATCTTCGTAAATATCGAGCACTCAATGAAAAGCTAATCACGAATAAATTGTATATTTTGGATACATTACAGAATCCCTTGCGCTTTGACGGGATCAATGGAGGGCTCCCGACGACCGCCACCCACCGCAACTTGCCCTTGTCCGGTATTATCCATAATATTTCAATAAGATATCAAGCAACAAACTTATTAAATAACCTTTCAAGTAACCAAAGGAACATTATTGATCAAACTTTATCCAAGACAACAGTGTAACTTTTCTATTGACTACGAGGACAAAAACGTGCGGCGACTTTATACGTGTTGTATTATGTTATGAAAATGTTTGCAGTTTGAAAAGCATATTGTATTGCTTAAAGTCCAAGATCATGGGTGTAATTTTTTTTAAATGAGTTTCTATTTAATTTTAGTAAGAGGTTTATATTTTTAAATATTTGTATGTATAATAATGCAGTGAAAGAAGAGAAACAAAAAAATCACTTTAAAGGTTAAATTAATTAAAAAAATTAAAGGATAAATACTACAAAATATAAGCAAACAGTGCACATTGGTAATATAAATAAAATAAACTAAATGAAGCAAAAAATCAGACACAAACGATATTGTGCATATCAAAACAACTTTTAAAAACATAACTAACTTTAATAAATAAAATTGACAAAAGAGGAGTACATTAAAGTAAATGTCAAGGTTTCGTCAGTGCTGGTATTTGTAGCTATTATCAATTTAATTTATATCATATTCTTTTTAGATATTCATCTATTTCATATATTTCTAACATCTGTAATCTAATAAGTAAGATTATTATTCTTTACTTCATAAAGATTAAAATTGTAACTTTTCCAGCCTGACATTTTTAAAATTGATTTCAAGTTTCTCTGACGTATAAGAAACGAAAAAGAATTTGACGAGTAAGTTTGTATAACTTTGAGGTGAACTTGTGCCGACTTGGGAACTCGTCGTTACGCCTGACGCGGGCTCAGTTTTACAGTTTTATTTTCAAATCCTTCAAACGTCAGTAGACGATGTCACCCTCGACCTGGGTTTCGTAAGAAAATGTTATTGTGTTTAACTTGGTCAATTACGAAGATCAGCAAAGTGTTACTTGACACAGTGTGAGACTACTTAAATCACATAATTAGTAAATGTTTAAAAAATGTTTAAATGAATGGAAAAAAATGTTTAAATCTGAATTATTACTTTTTAGGTTATCAAGGAAGTATTACCTTTAAGATCAGTGTCGTGTTATAACCATGTAAAATTCGTTTACAAGCTGAAAGTAACAACTTTTGTAAATACTTTGTATGATAGAGTTCTCTTCAAAATTAAATCAACACCAAAACAAAGAAATAGATAACAAGATACGACCGTGTTCAGTTAACGGGAAAAATGTGTTTATTGATATACAGCTGGCCTATATAAATGTAGCTCGATGTCCTACTGCATGACCTAATTCTCCGTATGAAAGGAGCGGCGGCGGCGGCGGGCGGCGGCGGCTCTGAAATGTTGGGGGTCGGGAAATTTGCGCCGCTCCCGGCGTCTCGCGCCGGTGAATCACAATAGGGTTACACATACATTTTTTTTTGTTACATAAAACTATATCCTATCAAATTTTATATGAATATATGTAGATGTTTTTAGAACTTCAATTACTATTTTCGCGTTATAGTAAAATCTCCATCGTTTTTTTTATTTTAATTCCTCCCCATCGGTTGAAATCATGTGGAAATAGAGAGATTTTCCAATGCCTTGAACATTAATAAAATATTTTTTTGAAAACGCAATATCGTAAGCATTCTAGCGCAAGAACGATTTTAACTTGTGGTTTTATCCGAGCATTAATTAATGCAGCAATTGACTCTGCCGCTTCAGAAAGTTTTTATAAGCGTATTCTTTTTATATTAAAACTTATTAACTAACTAAGCGGAGAGTGCGTTTTCCGTTTAATAAAAAGGTCTATTACATCTAAAATGTAAGGAAATCTGAGTCTGAAATGGAACATAGTAGTAATTATACAAATTACTAATTGTAGCCCGCAACTATGTACACGCGTAATTTAAAAGAATCTTAATATTGGTTTTAGAATTACAATTATTTTCACTACTTAGCACCAAGTGATTTTTGTTCAATGATATAAACCAGTAGGCAAATTATTTTTTGTGGAATGTTAAAAAAATAATTTGACCAAATCATATCATTAAATTAACTGTATTAAAGGTAAAGAAAAATAAGAAGTTATTGGTTTGCCAACCCTAGCTCGTTAGCTGCCTACACCTTTTCCGTACGCCCCCACGTCTAGACTTTACAGTATTACAGTGTATTGTATAGGCAGTCAATACAAATTCACACGCATCCACGTGCCCGCGTTTCGTCCGTTCAGACCAGAATTTCACTTAATTGAAAACTCAATGCTCAATGATTCAATGTCCCAGTTAAATGTTGTGTTCATTTCCGACAAAGTACTTAAGCATAATAAAGACAGTAGTTACTAAGATTAAAATTCTTCGTTAAGCTCAGTAGGAACTAACTTGAAAGAAAAAACACTTAAAAAGTTATATGTGTATGAAAATAAATTTTTATCGATGTAGTATTTTTAAAACCTTTTGTGGCAGTGATAGGTTCCCAATGCCCAGGTGTCGGGATTTCCACGGGGCCTCGGGCGTGGGTGTCGCTGTGCGGGGGTGCAGCGATGGGTGCGCGGGGTGCGGGGATTGGTCTAGACGGCCACCATTAGCCACCGGGCGGGCTGATGTCTGCGGCCCATTGCGTCGCTAATTAATGACAACATCAATATCTATGGTGGCTTGTCCCTTCCCATACTTCCGGGATTTCATTCGTCGACGGTAACTTACTTAATAGTAAATAATAATAGTAATACGTACTTAATTATTTGCATAAATTACTTTTCGCTAAGTAATTTGCTGTGATTCATACTAAACGTCTAACATAACATTTTTAACCACAAAATGTTTAATGGTTATGAGCAGATAGAACAATAATAAATGTGAACATTAAATATCATATGCTTTATTATAAATACGCCACATTGCTGAATTTAATAAAATGTTATTTGAAATACGCAAAAGTTTTACTTAGCGTAATAATAGTGTTCGTCGAAACACGTACTGTTAACTTAATGTTAAGATACGTGCTTATTGTACCGTATCGGCGCACTTTCACAATACGAGCTCCGCCGCCGCCGCCGGCCGCCGCGCCAGTGCATTTGTAAGGTAGCTGAGAGGCCTTCATCTCACCTCCAGACGTTTCTCAGGCCTTGTCTGTTGTCCTCTGACAGCGCGCGCTGTCTAGACTGGCCTAGACTATAATACAAACACCGAATGCCGCCGCCGCCACGCCGTGACGTCACTCCGTTCACAAAGGGAGCTAGACTGCCTTCTGATCGCTACTTCATATCAATTCAAAACGATTATTATAAAAACAATAGCATGGAATGAATATTGAAAAGTAACTTTTATAAAAGATAACAAAAGGGCGAATTCGTTTATTATTTATTGTTTGTGTATTTAACATTCTATTTATTGCTCGTAATTCGGCATTCAAGCTACTAACACGTAGGTACTCAGGTATTGAGGTATTTTATACGAATAGTTTAAAAGTTTGAAAGGTAGTTTGAGTGTAAACGACCTTTAAGCAAACCGTTAAAGTCTGTCTGCAGTCTTTATCAATGCAGTAAGAGTATAAAACGAAGGTGGAATGTAATATACGAGGATAAGTAGTGCGCCGTGTGACCGCGCGACAAGCGCAATGCAAGTGCACCGCTCACCAGTCTTGAGCTCGGCACGCGCGCACCGCACTTCTTCGTCTAGACGAATTGCATTATGCTAATTTATATACTAAGACGCGCAAACAGAAACTTTTAAACCTGTATGTTTATTTGCTTCTATCACTTTATTGCATAATAATATGAAAGTCGTAATAAGATAATGTTTAAACACATTAGAGTTTAAAGTTAACTGCGACACTTGAAGTATACGGGTTACTGAGAGTCCCTTGTTTTAATTATTAGTTACGAGAAATTTACTTTTTTGTTAAATTGAGATAAGGAGTACTCATGTACTCTATTCATAAAGAGCTTAACTAATTGCTCGCTTTCCGGAATTTAATTAAAAGAAAAAACAAACTTTTGTGTGACAATTTGATATACCAGACATATGTGACTGATGAACAATTTTAATATTTATTAAGATAGAATAATTAATTATTCATCGCTATTGAGTTGAAACTTAATTCGAATATACATTAAATGTAATTGTTTGTATATGTAGAAACACGTGTGCACGAAAATTTTTACGAGTGTGCGGTTATATCAGCGAAGAGACAAGCCGTGAAGACGGTTTATGACCAGTCTTCAGTTAATGGCACGATAATTTCGCGCCTAAGACATTTAAGTATGATCGTTAATAGTCCGTGTTGCAATACTGTCTGCATCACCGTCTAGACTGATACTTTGAGATCAGATGTCTGCAACCTTTTATTTAAGTTAACTTTTTTATATTCTTTTACTGGCGGTAGCGATTAATAATGAAATAATGTTTATAAACTTCTGTATCTGCAAAAATCAAAATAATTACACATGCTCTGAACCTTTCTGT